ATGGGGAATCAGGGATGGCAAAACAAAAGGCAAGGTATGCAGGACATAAGAATTGGAAAATTATTTGCTGAGAACATGTATGTTGATGTGCTTGATTGAGCCAATGCACAGTGTATTTTGGATGGAAAATTCATTTGTGTGTTGTGATGGTGTATAGTGAATTAATGTAGAGAATGAATAAATTAAAAAATATATATTTGCACTTTTTAATGGTGTTAAAATTTATAAAAGTTGGACTCACAGGTTTAATAGTGGTTAAGGCACTGAACTCCCAGATGACCCACTGTGGTTTGAGTGCTGGACCTGGCAGCTTAAAACTCATACCAGTCCTGTAGGTTTGCATGACCAAAATCTTGAAAGGAGAATAAAGGAGAAAGGACTGTGGTGTGATCATCCCCCCGCCCCCAGGGGGATGTTTTCTCACTTTCTCTCGGTTTTTCTGGTGAGCACACATGCCCTATTACAATTTTTTTTCTAAATAAATAAATAAGTAGAGGCCAGCAGGTAATGTGTAGTTAAGTTTCTTGACATCTACATGGTTGACTGCCATTTGAGTCCCAACCTGGTGGTTTGCTTTCTTTCTCTTGCTCTGTTTCTCTATGCTGAGCACATATGTCCTACATCAAATAAAAACATAATAATAATAAAACATAACAATAATAAAAATGTAAAGATCCACAAAATTCTAATTCTGTCTGATGCCTTAGCAAGAAGGGGAAGGAATAATGTCAGTCGTCAATGGTTTTCTCACTAGTACACAGGAGATATTTTATTGCTACTTCCAACATCACCCTCAGGTATGCAATTCCATCTTGACAGAAATGAACTATATCATTTATTGAGAAGTAGGCTACTTTCTAAAGAAGATTAGATTATCTTTAAACTCCACCCCTCCACAAAATTAATCCACCTGTCCCTCACCATGATATTCCGTGTTCAGTCCATTCCTAATTCAGGTACCAAGTACTCATTTCATGGTTTAATAAGTGATAATTAATGAGAACTTTATTTTTCCCCAATTTCTCACACTCCACAATTTCCCATCCTCCTTCCCCCCACCTCTGGTATCTGCAGTTTTTTTCCATTCCCTTATTATTTCCCACATTGTACTGATTCACAAAATATCTTAATTAATCTAAATACTTTCACTAGTAAGGCCAGTTGATATATACATAGCTGTAAACAAAAGTTGACTTTAGACATAAAACTTTGTGGGTAGAATAAATATACTACAAAATAACACTTAGCTGAAGCTATATAGCTTACTATGGTCACTAAATAGATTTTTTTTATTTTAATTTATTTATTTGCATTCATTCACTGTACATCATTACAGCATACAAAATGAGATTTTCCATCCAGAGTACACTGTATATTGTCTCAATCAAGCACATCAACAAACATGTT